TCTACCTAGTGGCTTCCTCAACATAGCTGGGCTCGCATCAAAAGCCGATCCGCCGTTCCACATCTCACTTAACGAATCGGACAATGCGATGATGATGATTGATTTTCACTTACGTTTTTCTCTAGGTAAGCGGATATTACGTAGCACTAGAACCCACACCAAAAGACAAGCCTCTTTGATCGTGTCGAGTAAATTAGTGGAGCTTTGATTTGAACTTCAAAGGTTTTTATCATTCGGAATTTTCCTTGCGCAGGAGATCTTTGAGTATTCATGTTTCTGAACAGTTTTATAAATGTAGATCTAACGCTCTTGTGATGTGACACACAATATGTGACACATAATGTGTGACGCTGCGTGGGGAAATCAGGCGCTCGTCAAAATACAGAAATCGGAGAAAAAGACATTTTTCTGAAAGTTTGGAAATTTTTTATCGATTTTTTTGGAGGGTGGGGGGCTCAACCTTTTATGTCCATATAAAAATACATTTCCAGCTGTACTTTACTGAAAAACATTGATTAAAGGCACAACACATGTTATTTTTCTGTTTTCAAGGACTTTCTAGCTTTTGCAGTGACCAAACTTTAGCACAATTTTGTCGCTAATTTCACCACTGAAACCAGGCGACCTCACTTCCTTCAAATGTAAATATCTTGAGTTGTATTCAAGATAGATGGATATTTATTTAATTGAAAGCAAAACAAATAAACCAGCTTTCAGATGATTCCAATAACTTCTCATGCCCAAAAAATGACGAGCACCTGATTCCACTGCGCCGTCACACATATCGAAGGCGAACACGTCAGGTGTGACTCAAAGAGAAAAGGAAAGTAGATATTCCTGTGAAGGAAAGAAGACGTCTAGGCCGGTTTTAGTCACAGGCCACTGCACCAAATAACATCACGGTAAGACTGCATTACCGGGTAGTTCAAAGGGGTTACTGAGAGTAGTTACATTTTGTCATTAATTCCACATGAATGTGTGGATTTTCCCTTACAATGTTGTCTGTAAAGGTTGTATGAGGTCATTAATTGGTGTTAAACTGAGGATAGTTTTCACTGCAGGTGCCGGCGGGGGGGGGGGGGGGGG